CCTAACCCTAACCCTAACCCTAACCCTAACCCTAACCCTAACCCTAACCCTAACCCTAACCCTAACCCTAACCCTAACCCTAACCCTAACCCTAAATTCTGACAGCTGAGAGTCATTAGAACACTGCCTGGTAAGCCAAATGACTCCAAATGCTCTCAACAACTTTTGCAAGCGCTTTCTAGTTTGCTACCACTGCAGGCGCACCAGACGCGCGCACCCTCTGCAAAAGTTGTTGGGCCACTCTACAACCAAAGTGAGGCCTCATTTGGATAGCTGAGAGTCAGAAGAACACTACCTGGTAAGCCAAATGTCTCCAAACGCTCTCAACAACTTTCACAAGCGCTTTCAAGTTTGCCACCACTGCAGGCGCACCAGACGCGCACACCCTCCGCAAAAGTTGTTGGGCCACCCCACAACCAAAATGAGGTCTCATTCTGATAGCTGAGAGCCAGGAGAACACTGCCTGGTAAGCCAAATGTCTCCAAACGCTCTCGACTCCTCACCAACCTTTCATTGCTTGACTGCCCTGCTCTCTCTTTCACTATCCTCCCTCTTCGTGCCCCTCTTATCAACCAACTGACCCTCTCTCCTCTCAGCTCTCTTATTCACATGCACTAATATTTGTACAGCAGTGCGCGCGTGTGGGGCGTATGACAGCGCACATACATGTCTGTCTGCGCCACTGTACAGTGTACAAGTAGCTTTAGTCATCTTCATGGACCTCTTGTGCGTTTTTTTGCTAACCAATTTGTCTGCTCATCCGCTTCTGCGTCGTAAAAGTCTCGGGGCATATATAGGTCAGCTTTAGGAGGCTCAGCTGGATGGCATGCACTACGCGTGTCATCAATCGGTACAGCTCGCAAGTACCGCTGCATTGAGCAAAAGTGTGCTTGATCAATCGCGCACAGGTTTCGTCGCTCGCCGCGAATGCTGGATTCGCAGAGCAGTCGTATCCCCTGACCATGCCACTCGATGCGATCCGCGGTCACGGTTAGAGAGATGGCAATCTATCAAAGCGCTTCAATGATGAGTGCTATGCCCACCCTCGGCGACGCTCTCACTCGTCCTTGTCATCCATACCATCAAAGCTCGCCGACATCGCAGTTCCAAAGCTCGCCGACTACATCGCACTCAATTCGCATGCATTCGACGCGTTCGACCGTCAACCTCGTCTGCCTCGCTTGTGAGGATGCCCGCCTTGCATCTTGGCGGCTTCTCGCTTCCTCTCGCGGCTCATGGCGCCCGATGCTGCCCCGCTACCGCCGCCACCACCACCACCATCCCTCGCAAAGCCAGGCATCTCCTTTCTCTCCTTTTGCGCATTCTTCTTGCGGCGACGCTCCAGAGCCTTGCGCAGTGCCGATCTATCGGGATTCCCGGCAGGAGCTGCACTGGCATCACCGGCACCACGACCGCCCACCGGCGTAGCATTCGCGCCTTTTCCGCCAGACAGCCGAGCATACTTGTCTTGCAAGATCAGTGCACGTTTCGCGGCTGATAAGGGAGAGTGCAGCGGTAAACATCGTCAGAAAGCGCAGCCGCGGATGAGTGCAGCGGTAAACATCGTCAGAAAGCGCTTTCGCTCGCGACCGGATCCACTGACCATCTTTGAGGTGATACGCCTTGCCACCTGCCCTTTCGCGCTCCCTCTGTTCCCGCTTATAGTCTCCCAATACCGCGTCCTCCCTCTCCCTCCTCTTGCGCTCATTCTCCAACCCTTCCGCACGTCTTAATGCTTCCTCTACGCGCCGCTTCTCCTCGCGTATCTCCAGCGCACGTTCGGACCGCGCCTTTGGACCGGCATGATTGCGCTCCACCCTGTTGAGACCCGAGAGCGTCGCTTTCAGGTCGCTGACTTCCGAAGCTTGAACATCGCGAAGGAATCCGTACGATGCTTTGAAAAGCGCCTTGTTGTGCGTCGAGCCTGAGAGCGCAGAGAAGCGCGGATCACGAGAGCGCTGTGGGTGTGGGAATTGGCGATTCAGCAGAGCTGCGGGGTTCGCAAGTTGGCACGCATGACATGCCACTCACAGAAGCAGCGACGTCCACCACTTGCCGCTTGCGGGACACGGGTCGGCGCGAAGATTGCTCGGTGGGACTGAGATGGGTGCGCGAGCAGCGAATACATGCGCGTCAAAAAGTGAGTGTATGCGCCCTCGTGTTGCTTGTGCGACACTCACGCGTGCTTGTGGATCCGGCTGGCAATCTCTGCGCGGCTGCGATCCGGATCGACAGTGTCCCGCGCTACCTCTGTCTCTTTGCGATCATGAAGCCCTGCTGGCTTGATGGCTTGCAGCTGCAACCTGACCTGAGCTCTTTTGGCTTCGCGCTCCGCTTCCCACTCGTCCTCTTCATCGTCCTGCTCCATCAGCGATGCGCTCGATTCGCTCCTGGCATCCTGCCAGTTTTGCTCGCTACTGGAGCTCGAGACGCCCCTCGCGATGCGGCTTTCATCGAGCTTTGCTTGCGCCTTGGCCAGAGCGCCAAAAGGTACGCTGCGCATCTCTGCGAGGAAATGGTAGTATGGGCAATTCAGATCAGGACACGAGCGTGTGTGTGCCGCAAAGACGCCGGCACGCGCTCACGTGTTCGAATGGCCTCCTCCTCGTCTCCTTCTTCTTCGCTGGCCGATGTGGAGACTGACTGATCCTCGTCCTCATCGTCACCCGCACCCGCACCCGCACCCGCACCCGCGCGCATGTCAGGCTTGAAGCTCTTCATGGCGAGGCTGCTGATGTGCGCTGCGCCCGCCTCCTCTTCATCCTGTGCAGCATCCCTTCCCCATCCACGCGCAGTGCCGTACTCGTGCTCATCCCAACCATTCGCGCCAATCTCTGAAGATGCTGCGGATGAGGCATCGTCGTCGTCGTCATCATCATCATCGTCGTGATCGTCATTCTCGCTGTCATCGCTGTACTCTTGCGTCCACTTGGATGAGCTGCCACTGGCCTTGGTCTTTTGTGCGGTCCGGCCCTTGCGCTTCCGGGGCTGAGCCTTTGCCGCCTTGGCCGAGGAGATGACGGGTGGAAATCTGCTGGACATTGTGGCCGTGTTGCGGGTCGGGTAATGATGGGCACGAGTCTGGACGTTTAGGAGTTCCGACTTGGCGCCAATGCAAGCGCCGTGATGCGATGTTGGATGGACTCGTGACTGGGTGGTGGTGCGTGGAGGAGAGCTTTCAAGATTCTTGACTCGAGCACTCGTTGACTCACGGCGTGGGCGCCGCTGAACTCTTGGACTCGATTGTGAATGACTCTTGGACTTTTTTGTCCACACAGTCACGTGACGAGCGGTGAGTGGGACGCGCATCACAGCATCAGGAAGCGCTTGTCCAAAGGCAACCAAAACTCAACTCAATTCAATAATTTTGATTCAATTCAATTCGAACGCCCTAGCTGCATGCGCGCTCAAGCAAGTGGGACGCGAAAGCAACACAGCCACGCGCCGCCCATCAAGCCGCGGTTTTTTTTCTTCTTCTGCCGCCCCGCCGGCGCCTTTTGACACGCACGCACGCACGCACGCACGCACGCACGCAGCCGCGACCTCGCGTGCTCGATGATGCTTCGCATTCGTTCACATTCACCTGCGCATTTCTTATTCCCACACCAGCACAACCCCCCCCCGCTCACTCGTCCAACACTGACACATATGCGTGCGTGCGCGCGCTCACACCCATAGCCATCATGGTGCCTTGCGCTGCCAGCAGCAGCAGCAGCAGCAGCAGCAGTAGCATCGCTAGCGGATCATCCAGCTACCACTCTCTCATGGCAGCCGCAGCCACATGCGCATCCGCATCCGCATCCGCATCCGCATCCACAATCACCACTCTGGCGGATCTCGGCATCACATCATCCGAAGCGCTGATCAAGCTGCTCAAATCCGATCCCAGTCAGAGCAGCAGCAGCAGCAGCAGCAGCTTGGCCATCAAAGTGCAGGCTGCTCGCATCGCGTGGGAGTGTGAGGATGAGGATGGAGGGATGTTTGCGAGGAGAGCAGAGACGCTGCTGGATTGGGCATTGACGACGCTATGCAAGCCTGTGCGGAGGGGAAGGGTGACCAATGCGGGGAGCGGCAGCGGCGGCAGCGGCGGCAGCAGCAAGGCAAAGGCGAAGGCGAAGGCGACGGCGACGGCGATCAGCGTCGTGGGTGATGGCGACGAGGATGAGGATGCGCTGACACAGCTCTGGTTGCTGTTGCAGCGCATCCTGCCCACGCTCAACACCCGCACAGCCACATCCATCCTCGCTCCGCACCCTCTGCTGGGACTGATGCGCACCACGCTGGACCAGCTGCACTCGCACTCACACTCCAGTCCCAGCAACAGCAACAGCAGCAGCAACAGCAGCAGCAGCCAACGCATCGATGCTGTGCTGTCTGGCCTCGCCGCAGTCATGCAGCGAGCGCACGTCCGAGCGCACGCCCACGCCCACGCCCACGCGCACACCGACATCGATGCTCTGGCGGATGCCGTCATCGCATTGCTGCGCTTTGCCAGGCAGCACCTCAGCCAGTCACAGTCCGTCGCTCCCGACAGGACCTCCAGCCAATTAGCCGCAGCAGCCTGCCACGCCCACGCCCACGCCCACGCTCACCTGTCTTCCCTGCTAGCATCGCTGCACCGGGCTAGCAGGTCTGCGTGCGATGCGATTGTAGGCACTACCATTGCCAAAAAGGTGAGCAAGCATCGTATCGCAGCGTATCACAGCGCATCGCATCGCATCGCATCGCATTCGCACTGTCCGCACTCATCTTCTCACTCTTCCCCTTCAACGCTCCTCACACAGCTGTCCGCCCACTTTGTGGAGCACGCGGTGGGGCACTACGCTGCAGTCGCGCGCTTGGTGGACCAGCTGTCTGCCACACCCACCAAGCACGGCTTGCAAGCCGCGCTCTCCCAACTCGCGCTGGACAATCTCTTCAGCTTGCATCAGCTTGCGCAAGTCTCTTCAGGCAAAGCGCAAGCGCACACGCTTGAAGCGCTCTTTGCTGCTCTCGACGCCGACGCCGACGCGGACGCGGACGCGGCAGAGCGAGAGGATGCGCTGCACATCTTGCCGCAGCTGCTCTACCAGCTCCACCAGCAGCTCTCGCGCCATCGCGCTGCCCTCTTCCCCCTCACCGACACCATTCCCAGCTCATCCATCAACACCACCATCGCCACCGCTTCCAGCCTCGAATCGCAACGCAAGCAGCAGCAGCAGCAGCGCGCCATCGAGCTGGAGGCCTTTTTGATTCCTGCACAAGCGCTCATCAACCGCACGCCAGACGCATCCCTGCGAGCAAAGGCGTGCGCGCGGCTGTTGCAACAGGTGCAGCATCTGCGCATATACGCGCGAGGAGCGATGCAGTGCAAGGCTCACTTTGGCGCAGTGGCCAGCGCACTGGTCGACGATCTGTCTGCGCTGATGCATGGCGGCGCAGCGCACACCATCGATGCGCTGAGCATCATGTACGCGCTCGACGACCACATCGTCTCACCGCTCCTCTCGCGCGCTCTTCCCTGTGTGGCGAGAGCAGCGCAAGCACCAGCAGCAGCAGACGCTGGCGAGGCCTTTCTCCAGGCGCTCATTCGCGCAGCGCAATCGCAAAGGAGCGTGTCCCAACTCGTCGAGCTGTGCTTCGAAGCTGCAGTGGCGGCCGTCGAGCATGGCACCTTGGAGGAGGTGCTTGGCGGTCCACTCTTTTCCGCCTCCATCATTGCCAGTCTATGCACGAGCGTGGCCGTGTTCCTAGCTCCCGATCAGGTCATCGATGTCCTGCAACATGTCAATGCCCGACTCGCCGCGCTCTCAGACCACGCCCAGCAGGAGTCGGCGGCGGCGGCGGCGGCGGTGACTTTGCGCCTCGCCAGCAGCATCATCCTCCACATCGACCTTCCAGAGCCTCTACGTCACCAAACGGATGCACAGCTTTGCCTCGTGCTGGAGGACATCGTCGGCAAAGCAGAGGAATGCGGCATCGAGGCGCTGGCAGAGAGTTTGCATCTGCATCGCGCTGTGGACCTGCGATTGCGCAGCGGGAGAGACTTGTCGGGAGTCGCGAATGCCGAGGACGGCGACGGCGACGGCGACCGTACTGCGCAAGTATCGCGCAACATAACACGCCATAGACGCACCTTTGAAAGCGCTGGCGCACGCATCTGCAAGATCATCGCGACGGGCACGGCCACAACGGCGCTGCTCTTGTCGTTCGTCAAGCTGGCGCTGCACTTTGCCACCATACACGATACGGACGCGCCCCCGCCCGACCACCTCGATTTTGCAATCGAGCGAGTCATGCAGCTTTGCTCTGGTGGCAGCGACGACGCAGCACTCGCATCGACGGCGCAGGACAGGCTCGCTTGCCAAGCTGCGGTGGTTTGGGAGCTGAGCGAGGCGTTCGAGTAAGTCGTTTGCACGAGCGCGCCAACACATACGCCCAGCTGACGCCTTTTACCCTGCATACTCGACAGCGTATTTGCCCCTCGACATGCTCTCGTGCAATTTTGCAAAAAGTGTCTCTTGCCAGCATGGCACGCGCACTCGATTGGTGCTGATGAGAGTCGCTCACCGCTGCACTATCTCGCTCGCGACGCCGCTTTTCTGGAGCTGGCGAATTGGCGTCAAGCCATACTCGCGGCAGTGCAGAGCGAGAACGACGGCGTAATACTGGCGCTCGACTTGCTCCCCATGGCTTACTTTGACATCGACTTGAAGCGATCCTTGCTCGTCTCTTCTCTTGGCGTTGCTGCGTCTCTTCAGCGCAGCGACAGCACCACGACTGCACCGATCGTGCTCAGATTCCAGACGCGCTTGCTGGAGAGCTTGTCCGCCGAGCTGCCTTCTCACGCTGTCCATCAAGAGGTGAGCTGCAGTGCTATCGAATGCGGCGTAAATGCAGACTGACAGCGCTTGCGCCCTCCAACAGCTGCGAGAACAATTGGTCGAGGCTGCAAAACGCGCGCTCTCTGCGCCCTTTGCAGGGGCGAGCGAAAGTGGGCGCCTAATCTCTGCCTTTGCCACGTCGTTTGTAAACTGGGCATCGAGCGCAGCGCCAAACCAGCAGTCCCAGTGGTGGAGCACCCTGGCCCAATTCTTGCAGGGCGCCAGAGATGCAGAGCAAGTTGCCAGCTCTCCGGCGTCTCAGCTGCAGTGCGCATCTGCCCGCGCAGCAGTACTCGGTGCGTTCTCAGAGAGAGCCGGCGAAAATCGAAGAGCGCCTTCGGAAGAGATCATTGGGGTATTGCAAGATCAGCTTCTGGGGACGATGCAGGACGACGTGTGGAGCATCACTCACAGTCTCGCACATCAAGCTGCGGCTCAAGCTGCGCAACAGATGCTGCAGCTTCGACTGCGCCTCCAGCTGTCGCATCATTTGCAAACGTCTTCATCAAGCCTGCCCGAGTCGGGTGCGGCCACGCTGCTCGAGCGCAAAACTGTCGAATACATCTGCGCTGCTTTCACGGGTGATCTCGCGCTCCAGTACGTGCGATTGCTCGGTGCTGTACTGCAAACCCCTACGCATCCGCGCGTCTTGGGCGGCCGCATCGCCCTTGCCCTCGCTGCTATTCTTGCGAGCGTTGAGTCTGCAACTCCAGACGATCTTGCGAGTGCCTGCGCTGCATGCACATCCAAGCTTACTCGCGAAGATTACGACGCAGCGTTGTCGACCGCACTGGACGCCCTGCGGCTAATCTTGACCGACTCGAGCGCAGCAGCAGGAGCGGCAGCAGCAGCAGCAGCAGCAGCGCGACGACGCGACGCTCGAGGTCTGCTCCTCACCCTGCAGCACCTCCTTCAACGCGGTCCCGAAGGAACGCTGCAGATGGCACAAAGGCAGTGGATGGCGCTCTTGGGCACTGTCAACCTCTACATCGATACGCTTCCCCTTGTGCTCCTCTCGCCAATCATGCACCTCATCCAAAACGTCGTCTCGACCCGAGCCATGCTCCTCCGGCTCGCCGACGTCAGCTTGCTCCTGACCATCATCAGCAAGCTCATCGGACCGCGGTCACGACTGCGACAGGCACATGAGGAGGAGGCCTTCGTGCCGAGCTCGGCCATCTTCAGATCCATCAACACGACGCTGGGCGCCGTTTGCCGCCTGCGCAACGATCTCGTCTCTTGCGCTCTCCCACACCTCATGGTCGTCCTGATCCGCCTCGTGTCCCTCTTTGGTCAAGCACGTGCAGAGGTAGCACCCGCCCACTTGCACAAGGTCACTCAAAATTCACCCTCGTGGCTAGACATTCTCCAATCACCGCTCGACGAAAGAGACGCGCAAAGCATGGCTCGTCTGTTGACCACGCTCACCACCAAGTCCACCCTCGCCAACGGCACCGGCAGCGCAACTAGCAAAAAGCGCAAGCGAAGCGCACCCAGCAAATCGACATCCCTTGCTCAGGCCTTTTCAAAGTACGCGCCCCACGTCCTCGCAGCTCACATTCGATCTCTCATCCATTCAGCCACCTACGTTTCTGCTCGGTGCAGGACTGAGCTGAAACCGGGCCTGTATGCGCTGTGCGAGATGATGGGAACGCATGAGAGGGACAGCTTGGTGCTGTCCGACATGGATCAGGCTCAAAGGTCCATCCTCAAGACCATATGGGGCGATTGGGAATCTCAGAGGTACCGGGGAGAATAGCAGCATCTCCGTGCGCCCATCTCCGCTAGCAATGCCACTTCATACCCTGTCACCGTGTGCGTGTGTGCGCGCTTTTGATCGTGGTGTATTGCGAGGACGAGAGAGAAATGGCTACAGGAGAGAGTCGTAAAGGGTCGTGTCGATGAAAGTGTTGGCGTGCCAGTGAGACCGCGCTTCTAAGCTACGACTGCAGCGCCGGGGTTGCGAAAGTAGCCGTGGTCTAGGCAGCGTTTGGCTGCGAGTATGAGTCGAAGGCGAATGTCAGCGCCGCTGTTCTCGCTCACCACGGAACACCGCCATCACCGCTCACCGCTGACTCTGCCTGCTGGGTCATACACCAACATCGACCTTAACAGCTCGATACCTTGACCGTCCAGGGCGGGCACCGCTTTGCTGAGCGGCATCCCGTTCCAACGAGGAAAGGTAGCCTTGTAGTCTGGAAGGTTGCCCACACCTGGCCACACCTCCTCGGTGGGCGTTCCAAGCGTTCTGTGCGGCGGCAAATTCAGTGAGCGTGCGACCTCAGCCCGGCGCGTTTCCGTCGTGCTCACCTAAAGATGCGGAAAATCTCATCGATTTCGGAATCTCCGGGAAAGAGGGGAGCGCGCATTGCCATCTCGGCAAAGATGCAGCCTACGCTCCACATGTCGATGGCCGTGCTGTAGTGTCTCGACCCAAGCAGCACCTCTGGCGCCCTGTACCAAAGCGTCACGACCTGTGCGAAAGCGCGCAATCGGATCAGCGAGGCGACCAAGGAAACGCACTTCACTCGACCCGCCCCACTCACCTCGTGGGTGTATGTGCGAAGAGGAATGCCGAAAGCACGCGCGAGCCCAAAGTCTGCCAGCTTTAGGTTGCCCTCCTTGTCGATGAGGAGATTTTGTGGCTTGAGGTCTCTGTGAAGGATGCGGTGGGCGTGGCAATAGTAGATGCCTCGGATGAGTTGAAAGGTGAATTTCTGCGGGGCGAATGTCGCTGTTAGTCACCTCGCGTGTGCGATTCGAGACGATTCTCTACTGCCACTCACCCTGACAATGTCAGGACCCATGCCCTCTTTGGAATGCGCGACATTGTCCATATACTTTTTCAAGTCCAAGTCGAGGAATTCAAAGACGAGGTACAGCTTGGACTCCTGGTGGATAATGTCGAGCAGCCTGTGGTTGTATGCGCGGGCGAGTGCGTCGATTGTGAGCTCACATGCATGCTAGTGCGACCATGAAGCCCCGACCCACCTGACGATGTTGTCATCCTTCAGCTCCTTCAACAGACTGATTTCCCTGATGGCCGTCGATGGAACGCCCTCATCCTCTGCCTCCAAACGAATCTTTTTGAGGGCCACGATGCGACCATTGGCGCCTTTGCTCAAGTCTTTGGCCTTGTACACTACTCCATATGTGCCTACAGACAGAGGCCGAGTTTGGAAGCGCGCAAAAGTGTGAGTGCCCGTTGCGACGCGATGCCGACCTGCGTGCGGTCTTCAAGCAGGCCTGCTGGTGCCAGTACGCGCATTCACTCACCCTCTCCAACCTTTTCCAGCTTTTGGTAGTTCTCCATGCTTGTTGTGTCTGCTGTCTATTGTGGGCACTGCTGGGGGGCTGTGGGTGCGGGTGCGGGTGCGGGTGTGGGTGCGGGTGTGGGTGCGGGTGCGGGTGCGAGCAGACAAGAGTCGAGGTCGAGGTCGAGGTGCTGACGCAGACGTACGTGCGTGCGTGAATGAAAGTGACGTCGTCCTTGCGATCGTGGTCGATGGGTACGGAGGTCTGCAGTGAAAGCCGCCTGTTGTTGTTGCTGCTGCTGTTAATGCCGTCACGAGGATGGGCTGGAGAGTGATGGTTGCGCGATGAAAGGCAGACGCGGGCGGGCGGGCGGGTGAAGCCTCCTCGCTTCCATCCATCCCCCCTCAACGCTCATCACACCCTCGCTCGCTCTCGGCAGGCCGGGGGGTCTTCGCACTCAGCCTCGCACGCACGCACGCACGCACGCACTGCCCTCGATATGGTCACGCCCGTGCCTGGATGTCCCATCGCATCGCTCGCGCGCTCGTTCGAGATCGACAAAGCACACCCAACAGCAACAGCAACAGCAACAGCAACACGCGTCAGAATAGCGCGCGCCGCGAGTCGGTCGCGCAGAAGAGGCGCGTATACATACAGCACAACGCACTCAAGACTCGCGACTTGCCTGGCTGTCGCGTGTTGTTTCGCGAACAGCCGCCAGCCGCGGCGGACTGGCGCGCCCTTGCAGCAGCACCAGCACCAGCACCATGCAGCTATGTTATACAGATCCGATCCACGCGCTCAGCCAGCGGGCATGCATGCAGTCTTGAGCGCAATGAACCGCGCTCAACTTCGTGACTGCTGCGATCGAGACTCTGACTCAAAGGCGGCCCGGCCGCCTCGAGTCTGATGACTGCGTGGAATCCAAGATTCACGATCGATTCATTTGATTCACGCTTCCATCTTGACTCTCAAATCCAACCCGGGCCAAACGTGACTTGAACAATAAGGAACCAAGAATCAAAGAATCGAAATTCGTGCTTCACGTGATGTGGATGTATGGATGCCCCTGCAACTCAAGACTCATCAAGACTTTTGACTTGTTGACTCTCGCTCGAGACTCAAGACTGGCGTCCCCGGCCAACATTCTGGGCTCCAAAGTCACGATCCAAACAAGTTCGCATGTATACAACAACAAGTCCGCGATTCACATTTCGTGATCCAGACAGAGTTCCGATCGAGGTAAAAGCTGGACATGGTACCTGGTAAATCTTGAATTACAGCTACATCCCCTCGATCACCATGCACCAGTCTGACAGTTTGAGTCGCGAGTCTTGAGTCAAAGTAAGGCTCGCACGCGCACGCATGATGCTGATAATGATCGATATATGGCGCGCAACGGAGCGGAGCGGACCCGCGGCTGTCTGCGTCGATTAGAAAAGGCGTGGGTATGTACCTACAGTACATATATAGATTTGCCTTGTGGCGTTCGCTTTTGAATTGAATCAAGAATCAATTACCGGTAGCGTGCAGCGGCGGCCGCGCGGTCTGTCTGTCTGCAGCACATGCGACGTCTGACACTTTTGACTTTGACTCGAACCGCAAAAGAGTTCAGAGTCCATGCTGCACGTCTCACGACTTTGGCCGCAAGTTGCTTTAATAGCACTCTTGCATGCGTGACCATCACACCTTGCCCCGTGCGCCTCGACTCGACTCGACGCTCGCGCGCTCATTCGTGTTTCGTGTCTCACGATTCGCACTCGATCGTGACTGCTGCTGCGGTGACTCGACTCAGACTGGAGCAGCAGCAGCGGCGGCGGCAAGAAGCTTGGAGATTGGTGTGACTCTTGGACTCCTCTCCTCGACTCGGCAAGTGCCTGCAACGATGAGAGAGTAGCGGCAGCAGCAGCAGCATCAGCATCAGCATCAGCGGCAGACCTGATGAGGTCCTTGGGCGCATGCTGATTGATCAGGCAGCACCTCTTACTCGCGGCCTCGACTCGAGTGTCACGGCAGGCAGGCACACATCACACACGCACACACATGGACAGTCGGCCGATCGGTCGTCAAGCGAGCAATCTTGAATCGCGCACAGGATTACGAATCGCGAACAGCACAGCACGCCCGCGCGATTCAATTGCCGTCTGGATCAGGGAGGGATCAGACAAATCGCGCGTGGAATTGCGATTGCTATTTGGCGCGTCGTGTCGCAGCAGCTAGGAAGAAGCTCGAGTGGGCGTGCTGGGCGAAGGTATTCACTCACACTCACGACTCACGGGGGCTGCATATATGCGATCATCATCACTCGATCGAGACTCGAGACTCGAGACTTGGGCGTATTTGGACTGACTGCATGCACTCTGTCTCTGTCTCTGTCTCTGTCTCTGCGCCGGCTAGTCAGCCAAGGTATAGCTGAGCTGAGCACCGCGCGGCGATCTCGTGATATCTGCCCATCTCGCTGCTGCTGCTTGCATGCACGCCTGCCGCGCCTTCCCTTCCCCTTTCGTCAAGCATTGCCCTGCGAGAGAACATCAGCACAATCGGCAGCCGCGCGGTAGTCAGCAGTCAGCAGCCAGCAGCCAGCGATCAGCGATCAGCGATCAGCGATCAGCGATCAGAGCAACTACAGCAGAGGACGGCGGCATATAAGGCCGCTCTCGCTGCTGCTCCTGCTCCTGCTCCCAAAAGGAACGCCACGCCACGAACGCATACGCTTAGACAGCGCAACACGCCCACCTTCGCACCAGCGCCCACAAACACACACCCACACCCACACCCACACGCCCACGCCATGCTGCTGCCCGACCGCGATGTGGAGACATCATTGCCCGCTGACAACAGTCAGAGTCGAAATGGATTCACCGTGAGCCTCAAGGATCGCGCAAAGAGCATTCCCTTCGGTCAATCCTGCACCAACTCGCCACCCATGCCGCCGCCCCGCGATCAAGACCTGATGTCCGTCGCCCCGCTGCCCGCCGCCAACACTCAAACTTCCGCCGGCTCGCTACAGAGCCAATCGCAATCGCAATCGCAATCGCAATCCAGCGCTGCTCACCTCGAGCGCGATTCGGCCCTGGGCTCACCTTGCACAACGAACCTGAGCACCGTCTCCAGCATGGCCATGTCCACTCATCAGAGTCACGTCAGCCACGAGGATGTGCAGCCAGGCGGCGGCAGCAGCACGGCAAGCTCGGCTTCAGCCATCACCGTGGTGCGCCTGGACGAGTATGTGGCCCGACTGCAAGCTGAAGGGTTTGGACTGCCAAGCATCGTCGTGCGCCCCGATGACCTCTCCACACATGCCACCCATGCAGCAGCAGCAGCAGCAGTACGCGCCTCGTCAGCTCTGCTGCCAGCTGATCGTGGAGCAAGCGTAGCCGCGCTGGATGTGCGGGATGATGATGATGATTTGCGCAAGAGGGTGTACGGCAATGTGGAGCAGCAGCAGCAGCCTTCGCTCAGACTGGCCTCTAGGCACAGGCACGGACACGGACGAGCAGCAGGCACGCCTCGTTCCGTGTCCGACGATACGTTTCACAGCGTGTTTTGTCAAGACGAAATCTCTTGTCGAACTCATCCTCAAGCCGATCCACGCGCCACGAGGGATGCCGCTCCATCTGGCTACGAACGCGCTGCTACCCTGCCACCTTCTTACGTCACGGGCAATCCGCACACGTCCACTGCAACTCGCTCGTCTCACCCCGACAACGGCATCATGCACGCCAACGACGGCGGTTCATCAAGTTTCCACCCCTCGCTTCATCGCAATCCTCCTCAGCGCGACGATACATCTTGCTCCATGCCCGCCGCTTCATGCATGCCAGAAGACATTCAGCGCGTGTCCGCATTCTTTGGCGGCGTGCACTTCAGACCCGACTTGTGGACCAATCTGCGCGTCTGCCTGCGATTCGGCGCAGATGCTGGTCGCAGGCGCACGTTCGGTACGCGTGGAGATCGGTGAGTGGAGCGTGTTGGGGAAGGGGAGGGAGGTGCACGTCGTGTCTTTGTTTCTCCCCGCCCGGATGGAGCATTGACAATGTGGTTTGGTCGTTTTGCACGACTCTCCTTTAGGATGCTCAAGCTGATCGTCAGCACGGCAGAGGACATCCTCGAAGAGAATCGCGAAATGCTCGGAGGCAGTGAGTGACGAGAATTTGGCGCGTCAAAACGTAGGTCGTCCGTCGCCCACTCACGCCCCCCAGCACCATCGCTTGCTCGCCTACTACCCCCTCGTCCAGGCTTTCAACCTCCTACCAGACTGATCGAGACGGATGCTGAACTTGGCAAATGGGCGCAGAACCGCATGCGCGACCTCACGACGGGTCATCTAGCAGGCGACGAGGTGCGAGCCTATGCTGGCCTCTTCAAGGGCGGTGAGCGATGGCGCGCGCGCGCTCGTCAAATCAATCTTTGGCTCACACGCGTTTGTTTGATTGTTTTTTTCCCCAAGTCTGCTACTTTGTCTACCGCAGTGTGGGCGAGGCAGGCACTGCTCGCGCCCTCAAATACATTGGTCTCGGCTCGGAAGTGAGCACGTAAGGATGCCGGCCCTTTTGTGCACATGCCAGCTTGCCACGCTGCTTCCCCTCCCCACCACCGACTTTGCTCTCGTCAACCCTGTCACCTCATCTCGCTTCGGTATGTTGCCTCGTAAAGAATGCTCGGCTCGCGGCGCGCGTCACCCTGTTAGAGCCACCCATCTTGTATGCAGTCTGCCATCATGTGCCCGTCTTTCCAAAGGCTTCTGAACCTGCTCATGTGAGGTGATAATAGCATGAATTGGGTCAAGACGATGCGGACAAAAGGTTCAATTTCCGCCCAAGCAGCGATCAATCGACCAAAGCGACCGGCCAGGCGCCACGAAGCGCATTGACGAGCCACAGTCTGCCTCCCCCATCAAGCTCGCGACGCAATTCTTGGATGCTAATGTCGCGCTCTTGCACCAAGCCCCGCCTGACCAGCTCTTGTCTTGCCAAGCCTGGCAAAAAAGGCCGTCTGGAGTGGGGCGTAACGAAGCGCACCTCGCGTGATGAATCACGTAGTGGTGGAGAAAGCTCCAAGACGATGTTGGCAATGCTGCTTTCGGTGAGGTAGCGCTGCGAATCTGCCTCGCCCTCTTGCTGCCACAACAATACATCGAAGCAAGTGCCGGCAGGTTTTCCAGCAGGTAAAAGCGTCGCTCCGACATGCTCCCTCGCCTCGTCGTACACCTTGCGAGCCATCGTCTTGTGTCGCATGAGCACTTGCGCTTCCCTGGATAGGCTCGATGCCACGCCGACCGTATTGAGGCGCACCGAAACTGCAGCGTCGACCGCTGGCGTGGGAGATAGCCCAAAGTGTTCCACCTCGACGTGACCGCGAGGATCCACAGCGACTCTGACCCTCTTGGCCTCGCTGATCGCTCCCAAGACGCCGTCTAGCTTTGCTAGCAACACACTCTGCTCCGTAGCAGCCTTGACGGGCTCCAAAGATGGGTCAGGCCAGACGTCTGGTGCGACGTGGTGCAGCGCTTCAAAGCCGTCGTGCAGTCGTTGCAGATGTGCGGCAAGAAAAGGAATGCGCTGATGCAGGCGATGCGCTGCGATGGTCGCTGGCACAGAAGCGTCTGCTCGCGACTGCGCAAGCAGGGAGCTGAAGGGCTCCGGAAAGTGATCTTGCAGCCGACCAGACCATTCGCCCTCCTGATCGGCATTCAGGCGCAACGTGGTAAAGACTTGGCGCGGGATGCTCGTCGAGCGCGCAGCATCTGTTGCAGCCTGGCCACCCTTGTGTCGCCAAGCAGCCTTGTTGGCATCTCGGATGCGCAGCGACATCGACCTGAAGTGCGGTAGCATGTAGCGCATGAGTAGCCGTCGCTGGAAATGTCGCGCTTGTGCCGCAACAGACTCACCAAGTCCCGAATGCGAGCTGAGGCATGCGATCGAGTTTGGAGCTCCATCCATCAGTCGGCGCCACAAATGCACACACAGCGCAGCGTCTGCACCCACTCACTAGAAAGAATGCGATCCAGACAAGCTGACCATCGAGGAATTGTGGATGGGTGATGGACCAAGCGAATAGGCTCGTGCTCGAGATGGGCCCAACAGCTCTGCTCAGACTACCCAAGCTCTGACCCAGCCCATTGACTCGACCCAGGCTCGCCCTGTTTGGTGCGACGTTGTTGATGCACAGCGTGCCGCTTACGATGGAGATGCCACCGATGGATTTGAAGACCAGCATGGCTCCCAGCACGGTCCACACCTCTGCCCTGCCGAGCCTCGCCGCCACATGTGCGAGCGGGAAAAAGAGAAAAGTGCTGGCCATGAAGGGCAAGCTGCGCTTGAGGACGTGCTGCGGTCCGCCGAGACGCTTCTCGAGAAAGGGAAAGAGGAAGAGCTGGATGAAGATGGCCAAGACGCCGTTGGCAGCCAAGATGGTACCGACGTCCTGTTTGGTGAAGTCCAAGCCTCCCTTTTCGATCGGTGTGAAGCAAAAGAGGGGCAAAGCGGACATGTATGCGACGTTGATGAGGTTGATGAGTGCTTGGTTGAACAAGACGGTGAGAATCTTGGGCTTGAAGATTTCCTTGAATGACGCCGGCTTCTCCTCATCATCGGTGATGGGGGATGGAGCGGCGGGCTGATTGTGCGAGGCTCGTTCGTCGCTGTTCTGCAGCAGCAGCGGACGACGCTCAGCATCGGGCTCATTCTGCAAAGCACGAAGTGTCAGCTTTGAGGATGCTCTGCTGAGCGAAGCACGGACCAGATCGGGCTCTGACAAGCGGTGGGATAGCCTCGGCGTTGCTTGCCCAGACTCCTGCAGGCGCGGTGTCTGAGATGCGCTGGCCGCGTTCAAAGGAGAGGAGGCGGAGGCGGCATCTGCGCTCCTCCTTGCAGCGGCAGCCTTGACCTTGGAGGGCAGCGTCTGGGAGAGGAGAGAGCAAAGGTCAGAGCGAGGCGAGCGCGCAATGATGCACAGCAAGCGCGCGCAAATGCAAATGCTCACCTCTTGGAGAAAGAGAAAGCCGACGAGGAGACCGAACAGGTTGAGCAGGCCAGCAACGCCGCACGGCAACCAGTAAGGATACCTTTTCAGAAACTGGCTACGACCGAACCAATCGGGAAAGGTGCTTGCGGGATCGCTGAGAGTGCCGCCGATGGCAGGACCGATGATGCTGCCAATGGCGAACATGAGGGGCAAAAAGGTGAATGCTCTAGCTTGATTGCTGTCGTCTGTCAACTCTCCCAGCACGCTCTTGATGACGGCGATGTTGCCGTTCATGAGACCATTGATGGCGCGCGCCAAGATCATGGCGTGAAAGGATTTGGCCAGACCGAAAGCATTGACGCTGACAAAAGTGCCTGCCAGACCGATCAGCAGCACGGGTTTGCGACCGATGCGATCGGACAGCGAACCCCACACCATGCCGGTCAGGAACTGCACCACTGCGAACAGCGATTCCACCAATCCAGCATAGTCTGCGCGGTGCGGTGCGGTGCGGTGCGGTGCGGTGCGGTGCGGTGCGTTCAGCCTGGCTGGAGTCAGACCTGGGCATGCCATGCCATGCCATGCCATGCCATGCGCTCCCACTCCCAGACTCACAGCCAATCTCGTCTTTTGGCACGTCTGGCAGGTTATCGTGCAGCATGTAGGGGATGAATGGGAAGATGCACTGCAGGGCGGCAGGGCGGGTGAGCGCGTCAGTGACGGTGTTATTGCGCTGCTGCGGCGTGCGTGCGTGCGTGCGTGCGTGCGTGGATCAGACAGCGGCTCACTGTGAAGGCGATGGCTGTGGTGATGATGGGGTGCATGAGCGAGTGGGGTGATGGGGATGAGGATGAGAATGAGGATGAGGATGAGGATGAGGATGAGGATGAGGATGAGGTGGCATGTATGCGCAATCAACAGCCTCCCCGCGCGACTCTAACACTGACCCCCCTCCCCGCTCTCCACTCACGTTCGCTCAACCTCATGACGCAGAGGATGAAGAGCTGCATCTTGGGCAGCGGTGTCGCCTTGGCAGAGGAGTCCGAGTGCGAGTCCGAGTGCGAGTGCGAGTCGGCTCTGCTGCCGCGATGATGAACATGGTGATGGTCTGAAGCTCGTCTGCGCTCGGATGGATGCTGCAACAGGCCTCGCCTCTCTTGCTCTGCCTCCGCCTCTCCCGCGCCGCTTCGACGGAATGGCCACCACGCCATCGTCCCTGTTTTCTGTGGATATTTGGCTGCCTTGTCTCCTCGCACAGCACAGCACAGCACAGCGCAGCACAGCGCAGCGTTGTTGGTGAGTGAGCGGCGTGTTATTGGTTTGGCTTGGTGAGGATGAGTGAGGGGGGAAAGGGGGAGGGAAGGAAGGCGGAGGATGATATGAGGATGCTCGCGACGTGTTTGTTGCATTCAACGATTCATTGTGATTCACTTAAGACGCCGATGCCGATGCCGATGCCGCTATGCCGCGAGCACATCTGCGCACAGCCCGCCGTCCGTCAGCTCGATCGGCTTTACGGCACCGATCATGGCCGACGGTCAAAGCAAGAATCACGTGACATCGCTTTCGCCCGCGTCAAAAGGGAAATCAAAATCAATGAAGAATCACCAATCGTGAATCTTGAATGCTTGATTTTCGATTCAAGATTCGATTCGCGGATTCGTGATTACATATACACACATCATCGGGCCACGCCATGCCATGCACACTCACGACTCACGACTCACGACTCACGCTCACACTCCGACCGTTCCTCCACTTCAACACGCGCCCACATCCCCTTCACAACGCGACTCGTCATCACCCACACCCACACCACCACCACCACCCCACGACACCATCGCGCTGCCGCAAAGCTTGAGTCCAGATCAGGCGCGCGCGCAAGGTCACGCCCTCCATGGAGCAGCAGCAAGCATCATGCCCATCGCAGCAGCTGGAACAGCTATCGTTGCAGGAGGCAGATTTCGAGGTGGAAGAGAAACAATGGGAAGGGCAGCACCACCAGCACCACCAGCAGGAGCAGGAGCAGCAGCAGGAGCTCGACGATGCGCTCGGACTGCCGAGAAGGCTGACCATCGTCTATGCCACCGAGACGGGCACTGCACAGGATGTGGCACATAGGCTGGCAAGAGTGGCGAGGAGGCGCAGGATGGAGGTGGAGGTGGTGGCGGTGCAGAGCTACGGTGCTGTGAGTGTGAGCGCGTGCTGCGTGCTGCGTGCTGCGTGTATGCGATGCGCCATCCATCATTCGAAGCCTGCCTGCTCATGCCCCGCACACACATACGCGCACACACACGCACACACACACACGCACGCACACACGCACACACACACACGCACGCACACACGCACACACACACACCAATGTCTTCGCAGCTGACTCTTCCAGAGCAGAGGCTCATCGTGCTCATCATCTCCACCACCGGTCAAGGCGACTTTCCCGCCAGCAGCATGGCATTCTGGAAGTTCTTGTGTCGAGCAGGTCTGCCCACCGACATTCTGCAGGACACGCACTTTGCCACGCTGGCATTGGGCGATTCCAGCTACGAGAGGTTCTGCTGGCCTGGAAGGATGCTGCACAACAGATTGCTCCAGCTTGGCGCATCCCCATTGCTGCCCCATCAAGACGCAGACGATCAGCACTACCTCGGGTGAGCGTGGGTGTGGGCATCATCCCACGCATCTTGCTGCACACTCCCCCCCCCCCCTTCATAGTCGCTTATGCTCTCTCTCTCCCCTGATCAGCATCGATGGTACGCTGCATCCGTGGACAAGGCAGCTGTTCGATGTGCTAGAGGAGCACTATCTGCAGCAGTTGTCTCCTTCCCTCAGCTTCATCCCCGACGATGAGCCGCTGCCTCCACTCTTGCGGCTCGTGAGATCCTCAAACACAAACGCACAAGCCAGCACCAGCACCAGCAAACTGCCAAGCCCTGCACCACAAGTCGACAGCTCATCCAGCCGCATTCACAAGGCCGTCGTGGAGCGCAATGATCGCATGACCATGCAGACACACTTTCAGGATGTCAGGCTGCTCAGATTGGTCGCACACGACTCGGAAGGATCATTCGGGTGAGCGGCGTCAAGATGCATTTCGCCAATCATCCTCGTGCCTGATCAGCTCATCATCTCGCCTCGCAGCAGGTACGAGACGGGCGACGTCGCTGTCCTGCAGCCAGAAAATTCTGCCGCAGAGGTGCAGAGGTTTCTAGATGCTGCCGGCTGGGCGGACACGGCGGACACGCTCTTTGAAATGCGAGCAGACAGCGATGGTGAGCAGATTGAAAAGCCAAAGTCGCGGGGCATACGGTGCTCACCCGCTCTCTCTGCACGCAGAGCGACCTCTACCAGCTCCCTTTGTCAAAGGTCAGCTTGTTACGCTGCGCACCCTACTCACCAGGCATCTCTCACCCCTCAGCGTGCCGAGAATGTCCTTCTTTGACGTCATGCGGCATTGGGCGCCCAAGGGTAGTCTGCAGCGCGAGAAGCTCGACGAGTTTTGCGGATCGGCACCGGAGGGCCAGTCGCACAACGAGGGAGCCGATGAGCTGTACGAGTATGCGATGCGAGTGCGCAGGACCTGCACAGAGGTCATCGAAGAGTTTGACGAGGTCAGGATCCCGCCGGATTACATTCTCGATCTGCTGCCCCCTTTGCGTCCACGCGAATTCAGCATCGCTTGTGCCAAAGAGGTGAGTTGAGCGCGCGCATTGAGCCCCCTTAGCCTCGAGCTGACTCGCACGGCAACCCTCGCACAGACTAATGAATGCATTGTTGAGCTCGCAATTGCGCTCGTCAAGTATCGAACGCGACTCGATAAGCCTAGACGAGGAGTCTGCTCGCGTTGGGTAGAAACATTAGAGCCAGGTAAGGAGGATGACGTGCTGTCTTTTTGCGCAATCGATGCACCCAAGACTCATGCCCTTTCCACCCCCCTCAGGCACAATACTGCCGGTGCGTTTCAAGCGTGGAACACTGCGTCTGCCCCAGTCGCCGCAGACGCCCGTCGTGTTTGTTGGGCCTGGCACAGGGGTTGCGCCGATCCGAGCTTTGGTTCAACAGCGAGTACGGTCGCTACCAGCGCGCAATTCAGACCCCAACAACACACTAGTGTTTCTGGGATGCAGACACTCGCAGAGGGACTGGCTGTTTAGGGACGACTGGAAACAGCTCGCAGGAGAAGATGCTCAGAGTAGTCCGATACTGAGGTATTTTTTGGCAGCCTCGCGCGAGGCGGAGGATGGTGCCAAGACGTACGTGCAAGACAAGATTTTGGAGCAGAGCGCGCTTGTCTGGGACGCCCTGCGTCCCAGCAGACACGCCACACATGTACCCGGAATGTCAAACGGCCATACCGATGCTCGAAGGGGCGGAGGCTATGTGATGATCTCTGGCTCTTCGGGCAACATGCCATCAGGAGTCAGAAAGGCGGTGGAACAAGTGGCAGTTGAACGCGGTGGCTACACGGAGCAACAAGCGAAGGAGTACGTGGAGGGCATGATTACCGATGGGCGGTGGCAAGAGGAGTGCTGGAGCTAGATGGTATTTGTCAGGCTGCCGCTCCAGCCAGAGATGCTCCTCTGCTCAAGCCGCTATGCCATCGCTCTCCACCCACATTCGAACATTGATTTATGCCAACTCTAGAAACCGTCGCGATGTCGCATTGCCCTCCTTTGCAAGTTTGAAGAAATGAGTACAGAACAGTCGGGTGGCCACATCTTGGCAGATAAGCCACTCGCGACCAAAGCAAGCGGTCCCTTTTGTGTGCGCGGTATCATTACGTCGATGTGTTCAAACAAGTCGAAATCTACCGCGACCGTGCTTGTCCATGAGATGGAAGCTTCAACCTGCTACGCAAACGTGCCCGCCCTATTGACATGCATGCGCCAATCTCGGCAAGGTACCAGCAAGTCATGAAGACGTGGAATATACGCTTCAAGCTCCGCGCCACATTTGTTGGAGCAACTTCATGTTGTACAATCTGACTTTGACGACGCGTTCCCTTTGTTTGGCAACGTCGACCTTTGTGAAGCCTCTACACCTCTCTGCCCTGCCTCAGCTTCCCGCTTAACCGTTCACGATCAGTCTCCACCTTTGGGAACTTGACATTCTTGGCAATTCCTGGGGAAATGTCCCCAGGTGGGTAGGCTCCGTTGGCAACGTCGATCCATTCCACTCTGAAATCACGCCCCAACGTCACCTCTTTGACGAACTCCTCTCCCTCAGCCTCGGGAAAGCCGAACTGCTCAGCAATCTCTGGTACTATAGCCTTGCCAGGCGCAATTTAGCAATGGAGTTGATCATTGACTCCAGAGTCACAAGACGCACAGTCAGCTCTAGCACATTGCTTTTCCACGATGAGCGCTGGACGGACATCAGGCCTTTTGCACATGCCGTACTTCTTCTTCATGTTCTTGTTGAGCTTCCACATTTTGCCCAGAAGCACCAATCAGTCAACTCCCTTGCGGCGTGGTTTGGCAATTGGCATAGAGTGCATTACGCTGGTTGGACTAGTGCGCACCAGTGCTGGGTGAGGTCCACAATGGTCTTGCTGAGGATTGACAGGGCATCGAACACTGACCAAAATGGGCTGAACTCTGGCACGGGGTGCTGACACCAGAAGGAGCTGTTTGGAAAAGGGGGCAAAGCATGGCTATTTTTGCTTGTCTTGAGCATCTGCTTGGCCTTTGCGAAAGCTCAGAGATACAGCCACCAGTAGAAGGATGCAGTCTAGGCAACCTGGCAGGGCGCAAAGAGTAGCCACATTGCACACAGCATTCCTTGGGTGCATCAGATCCTCATCCAATCCCAAGCAGCCCAAACGGCGCCTTATGGTGCTCAGGGAGCGGAGCAATTAGATGCAGCCACTCCATTGGTGCCTTTAGCCCAGAAAATCATCATAATCGACGTGGCCAGTGAGGAGACAAGTCTGCGTTTTTGGAGGTGTTGCGGGATGTAAAACTTCTCCATCTGTGCCGCAACGAAGAGCATACATTGTCGAGAGTTGCCTTCTTTGGTGCTTTAGGTGGCACATGCAACACCATCAGCAGTCCCTTGATGCAAGAGTGCAGACTGCCAAGTACAGAGAAGCTTGTTAAGTTGGCTGTGGAGGAGGCTGGTACTGCCATCTCCAAGTTGCTTGCGATGGAAGCTGCCCAATTCGGTTTGGCAACAATCTGGGGTATGTCTCTGCAGCATCAGATGTTTACCGCTTTCCACTTGGCTTTGCGCAAGGACATTGCCAAGGTGCTTGGGATCACCGCTCTCAAAGCCTGGAGATGGTTCAAAGTGAAGACCTTTGTGAACCCTCCAGGCGCGCATTCCTCACCTCAAGCACAAATGCCGCAAGAGGCTCAATTTATTGAGCGCGCACAGATACCGTAAGAGGCTCAAGTTTGAGGTTTTGCGTTCTGTTTGTTCAGCTCAAGAAGCATGACATGAACCCTTGCCTGATGGTCACTGCAGCTTTTGAGCATTGGCACACAAGATGATGGGCTCAAAAGATCACTGATTGATTGTGAGTTGTGCAGCACATGCCTTGCATTCACCATTGCTGACTGGTGCGCATGTAGGTACAAAGATGCCTGTGCAAGGAAGCCAACCAGCATCCAGCAATCTGGACCATCTTGGCCCCCCTCCCTCTTTGACAAGCACAGCTTTGCAAGAAGGCAGCTGCTAGAGTTGTTGTGAATGCCAGAGATTGGATCTGTGCCATCGGTCGCAAGTCTTTGTACTGCCTGGCAGTGCTCAAAGTCGCAAACAAAGGCATCAGGCCATGGTCTTTGGCGATGACGGAGAACAAAAGAGAGGTAGTGTTCCCTGAGAGCTGTAGGACCACCCTTGATTGCTGTAGGGACTTGGCTTGTGAGCCAAGTGCGACGGTGAGCACGGAAGGCGTCCTGATAGGCACAGCCATCTGAGCTCTCGTCCACCAGCAATTCCAAGTACCTGCCGAACCTCTCGTACTGTCTATTGACGGGGGGCAACGAGCAACGCAGATGCAGTTCTGTGCAAATTGCCTGGGTGAGCTTGGCTTTAGCATTGTCCTGCTTGGTCTTGGCGTCTTTCCTGGCTTGTTCAGCAGTGTTTCTCTCTTGCCGTGCGGTGTTGCGCTTGGTCTTGGTGTTTGTCTTTGCTAGATCAGAGACTTTCTTTCCTTGGACAGCGTCGTCCCGCTCGGTCTTGGCCAGCACCGCCTGCTTGCTGGATGACCAGCAGGGCCCATGCTGCTCTGGCCGCATCAGCATTTGGTCGCATCATTGTGATGGCGGTGGTTTTGTGGGCGCGTGAACGCGCACGTTGCGAGACTGCTGACTGTGCGCGCGATGCGCATGACGCATGACGTCTCGCATTCACGATTGCTGACTGTGCACGCGCGCTATCCCTGCAGGTACAACGCCGTCTGTGCAAGGAAGCAGATCAGCATCCAGCCATCTGGTCCATCTTGGCCCCATCGCTCTTCAATGAGCGTAGTCCAGCAAGAAGGCCGTTGCTGGAGTCAACGTGTCCCGCACCAGCTGCATGCTGGATGAGCAGCAAGACCCATGCTGCTCTTGCTGCGTCAGCTTTTGGTCACATCATTGTGATGGTGGCAGTCCTGGAGACGGGAACGCACGCATCTATGCTACATCCTCTTCACTGCGGATTGGAAGGGTTCCATGCCGAGCCCGTGCTCCTGATCTGGCATCAGGACCACTACATTGCAGGGAAGATCAGCGTGGCGAGTGCTTTTTGCATTCCAGTGAGCAATCTGATCACAGGATTGCAAGTTGCGCTAGATCAAATCGACAGCCGGCAGATGACGTGTGAAACACGCTGTTCCACAGCATGGGGCAGAACATCACAAAGAGGGCCTACACCAGAGGCCTGAATGCCATCAACTTTGTGCAGCTGCAGGCAATGGAGGTCAAGGATGCTCAAAGCTTGTCCATCTTTGCAAAGCAAACAAGAAGTGTCAGTGTGAGGCAGTGACTGTTGTAGCTTGCAACAATCAGCAGAGCATTGTCAAAGACTACTGATACATGGGTCTATCTCAGAGTCACAAATGTTGGCAGCATGTGTCACAGAGAATGCAGGCATTCTGTACATCGACGGTGTGTCGTGAGTCTTGTCTGCTTGGACAGAGCCATGTATCGAAGCAAATTGTGAGAAAGCGCATTATTGTCTGGCTTGGATGTGAAGTGTTCAGACCTGATTGTCTTGAGTCTTGCTTGGTTTGTCTAAGATGTCAAGCCCGACTCCAGCCAGGTTGGATGCAGGTAGTCCCGTGCGCTTGAATGAAGATTGTCCAGCCAAGGGGTGATGGTGGGTGGATGCTCAGCCAAATTTGTGGCAGCAATTTGATCAGGTCAATGACAGTCAGCATGTCACCATGCTCATACGATCTGGGCCATGTTGGTATCTTGAGGTCTGCAGCCCTTTCACATTGCCCTGCATGGCATCCTTTTATTGATCTACAGCAAGAGGTTCTCAGCTTTGAGGTTGGCGCCAGTCTCGCGCCGGCGCAAAAGCTCTGCTGGGCAAGCTAGCCACAACATCCAGCAATAGCTCATAGTCAGGATTTGGGCTGTCGAGCATCGACATCACCTGCTCTTCACTGCGCCTGATTGCTGAAGCCGTTACCTCTGGTGGGGGAGGAGGGGGACAGGACATGTAGTTGTAGATCACCGTTGGGCGTCTAGGTGTGACAACCTCATCATCCCTGTAGTGATTTTGCACATACTGGGTGATCTTGGTGGCAGGCCAATCATGGATCCTTGCAAAGTGTTGGGCATCTGCTGTTTGGATCCATCAGAGAGTCCCCATTGGCATCCATGGCGTTCAGAGCGTCTACCAGAGCAGGACAAAGTTGCCAGAATGAGGGAGCAATGCTGGTTGGCCGGTGGCAAATGATTGTTGGGTTTGAGGCAGATGTGTCCTGATGAGCAGCTCTTCCACCCCTAGCGCGGTTCGAAACATATCTCTTGCGTACTTCTGATGTGGATGCTGCCAAGCCAGCTCTCTGGGTGTTGGCAATTGTCACATTATGATCTCCAGCCGCAGGTCCAATTGCGGGCCTCTCTGCAGCTGGACAAACAGAAGCTCATTGGCTTTGACAAACTTTCAACAATTAGAGTCTTGTGACTGAGTACGCAGGAGATCTCAATACTTTGTCACTGCAACAGGCCATTGCCCCTGAGCAGCGCAAGGGATCAGCTTTGTTGGTCTTGTCAGCAAGCACAGATGCCCTGTTGCCGCCCAAAAAGGGCGTCTCCCCCTTGGTGGAAGCAACCTTCTTGACTTGCTTGGACATTGAGCCCTCCTTGGCTTTGCTTGGCCTCTTCTACCAAACGCCTCGTCAACCAAGTTGTCTAGAAACCACTCTTGTTGCGGCGCCAGAGCCCTTCTGACTTGAGATGCCGGCCTTCTGAGACTTCAAAGTTGGGCGGTAGAGCGGCACATTGCGCCGGGGTGGTGAAAGAGAGGTGTGCATCGAGAGAGGTGCCCTCTCAGGACCACGAGGGACCAGCTTCATTGGTCTTGTCTGCGAGGGCAGTCGTCTCCCCCTTGGTGGAAGAAGCCACCTTCTTGGCTCGCTTTGAGGTGGAGCCCTCTCTTGCCTTGCTTGGTTGCTTCTCTGCACGATACACGTGGTAGAGCATACCTGCCGTTCCATCCCACACCTGTTGTTGCTTCTCCTGCATGCCAAAGGTGGTGGCGATGCCGTGCTCCTCGACAAGGTGTCTGATGTGGTCAATGCAGGTGCTTGAACTCAGCGTTGCCAACAACTCCAATGGCTCCTTTTTCAAAAGAGTGCACATTGTTGGACGAGGCCATTGGAGCAATGCCACTCCTTGAGCTGCCTGCCTTGCAGACTCTGGTGCTGGACTGGTCCTTCCTGCGGTGTATAAGCTTGCCATCCTTTGCCAGGCTCAAGGATGTTCACATCCTGGCCTCTGTGGACAAACAAAGCCAGGTCCCCGGGATGGCAGGGGCATTGAAGTTTGCACCAAAGACTGCTGCTGCAATCTGGCTTGCGCTCAATAGGGTGGAAGTGCTGGGGAGCCTCAGGAACACCTCAGTCTTGCAGAGTCTTGTTGACCTGGACATTGAATTTTGGAGCACAGAGGACATGCTGCACGGACAAAAGCGCAAGTGGGACAAGGTCCTGGACGACCACGTTGAGAACGTGAACTCTGCGGCCGATAGTCGCTTGCTACCCACTAGCCAAAAAGCTTGTCAAGGACAGCGTCAATCTCCGCAAAGCCTCTTTTCTTCACAACAATCAACAATGTTGGCTGTTCCTCCTCCTTCTGACCTTGCACCTCTTCCAACACCACCACCCCCAGCTTTCCCGACCCCTTCTTTGTCCCACCAGGTCACCCAATCTTGTCCTCTTTTCCTCGGGGACGACAACAACAACGACAATGTCTTGCCCCTATGAGCGTGCAGTGTGGCAGTTACCCAAGACTCTCTGTTGGCCTCCAGTTCAGCAAACAGCCACTTCTTCTTCTTCGCCTTTCCTTCCTTCACACACATCCACAATGTCAGCTGTTGCCCTACCTTTGCAGTCACCGTTCTAGCCAAAAAGCTTGTCAAGGACAGCGTCAATCTCTGCAAAGCCTTTATGCGCTTCAGATGTCCCACAAAGATAAGATGAGCAAGGCGCATGGTCAATTCTTTGAATGCTCACTTTGCCTCATGTGCGTGGCACTTGAGAATGAGCTGCCAGGTGCGCTGCAAGATGCCTGCCATTGGCAACAACATGGTGCTCCGCTTGCTGCCCTCTGCCAGCCTGCCCCCCTCGCCATCGGCCTTCAGCAGCTACTTGAGGGAGTTGAGCCAAACATCAGTCCTTGTTGCAATCCAGAACAAGCATGCGCAGGTGCCTGTTGTCACCTTGCGGGTCAAGAGCATGCTCATTTAGCTTGTTGATTTGACGGATGGCCTCTGTGAACGCCTACAGTGTCGAAGCCCGTGACCCGCATGGCCCTGCAGATAGATGCATACGTAAACACCTCCCTTACCCCTGCCTCACTCTTCTTCAATACTATCATCATCTCTCGTGTCTGTGTGTGTTTCGATACAGGGCACGTCCTCAGCGGTCCCAGTCCAGAACAGGAGGATGATGCAATTCAAGGTCCGCGTCACACCCGCGCAGCGAGATCTCTGCGTGGAAGGAAAAGACCAGATGAGGTCCCCAGCATAGCTGTTTTGAGACGCGCGAAGCGGTGATATCAACATCAGGAGCAAATGGCCATCGCCAGACCATTCCACCTCGGCTCCTCGGTCAAGGGCCAGCCATCTCAGCTGTGCGAATCATTGCATGCGCATCCAACGACAGAGCCAACGCGATACTCAAAAACGAGCTGCTCCCATTGCCTCCACTTACAAACAAGCTCCCAATTCGCATCTTGTTTTCACCACACAGTCTAAGACTGTGCATAGGAGTCTCTCGAGTTTTGTTGAGTCACACGTAGCTGAGTCTTCGTTACTGGCTGTGAACTCTTGTACCGCCTTTTTGGTTGGCCTATTGAGGCCATCACTTTGTCTGATCTGCAAAGCCTCATTTGACGGTGTGACAATATAGCGGGTTGTGAAAACGATTCAACAAACGATCAGAGGACTTGCAAAATTAATGAAGACGCTTCCTGTCAAACATATCGCAATTGCCTCACCAGCCAGACCGTGCCTTTCACTCGACTCATCCGCGCAGGAAGGTGGGCAATTGAGTTACGAGTTGCTGTCATTGCCAATGCCTGAATGGAGTTCTCAGGTGAAGCAATGCGACGTGCAAAGCTGTATCCCTGGGCCTTTTCCACGATCGCTTTTTCCCTTTGTGACCGAATAGGGGCAAAGCGCGCTTACAGCGATGACTTTGTTGCACGGGGACGCGCCTCGAGACAGCTGAGACGAAGTCAACCCATTGGATTGGAAGCCTCCTCAAAAAGATTATGTGCAGCTTTCACTCGGAACGCTACCGCCAAATTCTTGTGGGCAAAATCACTTGCAGTACTCGGACTGGTCGACAACACACATCTGTAGTGAAGGACCAAGCAAATTTGTTCACTGGTCTTGAGTTTTGATCGATCTCAATGGTGTGATGCCGCACAAGTTATGTCGTAAGCAGGATCGACGTTTTTTTGAGCGACCAATCACTGACCGCAGGTCTTTCATCACCCAGTGAGGGAGTTGATGCAATTTCAGAGAGGATTTAGGCTGTACAAAGGCGCTTTCTTGTATATTTGGAGTCTGGCGTTCTCGCGCTTTTGCTAGCAAGGATTCATCAAGTTCATTCTTTCGAGCTAAATACGCGTCTCGAAGACAAATAGGGAGAGAAGCGAGCTTGGTACAGAGCCTGAATCGTTATAAGCCCGCTGTAAATAGTGTCCGCGCAATCCTACTGACTCACGCGATCGCATGTCATCAAGCTGTGTTCGTATCGAGAAGGGTCAATGCACCAATTCCAGACGCGACAATCTTGTTGTGTGATACCCGTGGACTTTTGCTGGTGGGCGCGAGGGGGTGTGACAAAGCGCATGAAAGTTTTGGTCAAAGTTTCATCGACCAAACTTCGACGTGCTTTCTCACTAACGCGTCGCTGGGACGCTATCACTCTCGCATATGATATTCAGTGAAATTATGCTAATGTAAAAGGCCTAAATGACCAAAATAAGCACCTATAATTAATCTTGAGAATCAGAAACTTTCGTGACCGCAGCGAGAAGACGTGATCGTGAGAATGATTATCGGAACCGAGACGGTGAGTTCGCACTGGCGGTGAGCAAGGTCGGCGCATGTGCACCAGTGGAAAAGAGGTGTAAAAAAAGAACAAAAAACAAAAAAACGCCACAAGTCGATGGATCTTTACGTGCGTTGGCTACTCGTTAGAGCTGAAGGTCTTGCAGAGAGACCGGTTGCGGCACTGCAAATTCTTTTCAGCGCAAGAGTTGGGAAATAAGACCGTCAAAAGGATGAGTTCGGGATATAAATGAGGTCGAAGCTTGTGTAATTTATCCTTCGGATCAATAAACAGACATTAAATCTCAAAGGGGGTCGCAATGCACGTCCCCATCGAGGAATCATCTCTAGAAACTCTTGTGCAAATACGAGCGCGTGAATGTCTGCAAAGCTTTGTAGAGAAACAACATACAAGCATTGAAGAGCTTCGTGACACGATCGTAAACTCTCTGATTTTTCTACTGAGAGCGTCGCGTAGCTGCCAGCCGTTGGTAGGGGAAAGGATACAGAACAAAAGCAGAAGAAGGGCGCTGTGGCCGGGCGCATGTAGAGATTCAAAATCTCACTCGCGTCTAAGAGACTGTCGACGTCTTGCGCTTCACTGCGACTTGCTGAGGGACAACGAGTCGCTCAACCGAGATTCGCTCGCCTCAGCTCAGCTTAGAAAGACGTTGGGACTCTATTGCCTGAATGATCACCCGATCATATACGCTGAAGCAGCATCGGCCTCACACTTGGCAATGGTTTTCCACACTCGCCAGCTCACAAGTGAGAGCATGTTAACCTGGCTTATAGTGCTTGTCGAGACCAGCCGTACAGCGACAGAGGGATGTTTCCCCGTAGAATAACTCTACATGCTTGAATCGGTCTTCTGATGAGATGCGCGAGAGTTCGGCATCAGATCGAGCATGCACGTGTGAGCATGCGGTCTCGCTCTCGAACTCGGGTCCTAAATGCTTCCTTCGGATCCAATGCCATGCAGACGGGTTAGGGTTATTTAAGAGCTCAATGCTCGTAACGGAGGCGATGATCCCGGAAGTGTCAACGACGGAGGTTGTGATGTAAATCGTCTTACCCGGCTCCCAACTTTACCAGCCTTGCACAGGTGGGTATCTCTGTCATGATGAGTTACCAGCCTTGCACAGGTGAGTATCTATGTTATAATGAGGTGGAAAGTGCTGTTGCAAAAAGAGGCTTGTCCGCGGTGATCAAGCCCATTTCGAGTGCGACTGAGGCATCAGTTACAAAATCAGCCCTCGAAGGGTAGGGCCTAGAAGCGATGCAGGTTGCGGTGCTTTCGACGCAATGGCATAAGTGAGATATGCTATAAGTGAAATGGGCAAGTGAGGCCGCGTGAAGGGAAGGGCCTTGAGGCGATGCGAGTGA